TGAGATATTGAATGGGAATCTTGTTGTAGAATTCGAGTTGGATGTGATAATATGCTTCGAACCTATTATGTACTAGAAATGTGCCCGTCAAACCTAATATAAAATACACAACAACAAGCCTTTATCCCAGTACGTGGGGTCAGCTACATGAATCCTTTTTCTTCATTGTCTATTAAAAGTCAAATCTCGTTTAAATCTAATAGAGAAATATCATTTCTAATATTTTTTTTTTCATAATAAAATTAACATAATAATGAAATATAATAACCATATAATTTAACATAAATTAAAGTTAATTTATATTATATATTTTGATATAAATTAAAAATATAAATTATATAAAAAACTCATAATAAAAATTAAATGGATAAAAAATAAAAACTAAATATTATCAACTAAAAATAAATATTATTCATATTATAAAAAATAATTAAAAAAACCGTTAAAAAAGATGTTTTAGTTTGTATAGTGTATACATGAAGGCAAACAAAGCTTTTTGCTTTGTATGATTTAGTCCCACATCACTTGTGATGTTTTGTTTTGTATAGTTTATAAAGCTTTTTGCTTTTACTCATGATAGGAGCTCATATGCAGAGTCATGTGAGAATGTTGCAACTAATATTTAATCATAATGTTTAATTAAATTAATATTTATATAATATTAAATAATTTATTTAATTATTTAAATAAAAATTTTGAACTGGCCGGTTTTAGAAAATCAGAACCAGTTCCCGGTTGAACAGGCGATTCAAACCGATTCTGGCCGGTTTGGTGCACTACCGATTTTCAAGACTGAACCAGACCGATCTTTAGATCGGTTCATGGTTGAACTGATCGGACCGGCCGATCCAGTCCAATTTTTAAAACATTGATAATGATCCTTTTTAAAATTACGCCTTTTTTCTTTATAAAGAGGGGGCACCGCCTCCATGTTAGATCAAAGGAATTAGGACTATGAACTTTATATAAATTTCCTAATAAGCTTTGTGCGTTCATCCTGTCTTTTGTTTTCAATTATTTCTACTCTCAACTACTTAATTAGATTTTTGCCAATTTGCAACATTAAGAACTGTAAACTACCTCAGGGGAAAAGCTCTCTAGTAATCATAGTACTACTGTGCAAACAAATCCATCAGTCGTCATTGAAAATGAAAATAATTAGAAAATTAAAATAAATTAAACAACATTTCTGCTGAAGTCAACAACAATTAAAGAAATTATTACGTGCGAACACTGGAGCTACGTCAGGACTTCAATAAAAATATGAGTGGACTAAGTATTACTATGTATTACTAGGTATTACTGTGTATTTAGCTGTGTATTAACTAATATACATCAATACATAACTAAATACATAGTAATACACAGTAATACCTAGTAATACATAGTAATACACTAATCCACGTATTATATTTTTATTAGAGTTTGAACGTAGCTCTATGTCTGGTATCTGCACATAATAATTCCTCTAACAATTGAGTTCCCAACTCTTGGGAAGGATGGAAGCAAAAGGTGAAATGTCTAATGGAAAAAAATTAGTGATATACCGGTAAAAATTTGATCAAGGTAGCTTTATATATCCCAATTCACTTTGAAATGAGTGAAATAAACTACTAATCAATCAATCTAATCCAAAAATTTTCCATGTAAAATTATTTTCACTTAAAGCATAAAAGCAAGTTCTACAAGTATATAAAGAGGCAACTTATAAAACATACAAAATAAAACAATTAGAAGAATTAACACAAATCAATCACAACAACTACTCACCAGATGAAAATCCAAAGTGTTGAGTGACAGAACCGAAAGCACGACTCTTCATTCGGTCTTTCTTCTCGCATCGGCCACGTCCATAGCAAGGCACAAGAACAGCAAAGCTGCTATCAGTCTCCCCCTCTTTGCTCTGGAATTCCGGTGCATGAGGTTCAATCCAACCAATAGACCAATCTGAATCATCTGATTCAGAACCTGAGAGGCAGCCTCCATCAGAGGACACAATAACCACATCAAACTCCCTATCAATCCTCACCCTCCTCTCCTCCCTGCTCTGCCATTTCTTCTTAATTCTTCTGGAGGAAGATTTCATCTTAGTCCCTTTTACAGATGGAAACTTGACGGAATCTAGCTCTCTGAATCCCGAAGGTAAATCAGAGGACAAATTCAGAGATGAATTAGTGCTTTCATGGCCGTCCTTTGTTCCCCATAACCAATAAGAAATATGAGTGAACGTTACAGCCATTTGACAAACCCCGCCCCCTTGTTGCGATCTGACGATCGAAGATCGATGAAACGAGAAAGCGAAACGAGAAAGCGCAAAGAAGAATTAAGAAAAAAATAATCTACTAATTAATAAAAGAGAATAGCTAGTTGATTTGCCAAAAACCCCAATCAATTACAAAAAATCAATTTTTATCAAAAGAACAATATCTGCAGTGAATAAAGATAAGAAATAAGACCAAGTGAACTAACAGATTATAAAAACCTTTATTTCTAATTTTCTTACTGAATAAGGGCCTTCAGCGATTGATTCAAACTTTGAATAAGAAATCTCCAAAAATCTAATTCCCACAGAAACCTAAAATGGTGCGTCGTACACAAGGATTGCTCCTAAGAATCCCAAACAGAAAAGAAAAAAGATTGCTAGTCCTACTCGAGAAAACCCAACGAAAGCAATGAAAAAAACCGCTTAAAATTTTCTTGCGGAATCCGGTCATCGCGGCGATGGATCCCGCATCTTTTACTCCAACAAACTCGCCTCAACGAGATTGGAAGAATAAGAAAAGAGTGCGTCCAGATACCGAGAAGAGAAAAGATTAGAGGAACAGATTGAAGATCTCGAGATTATAGCCGTCCAGCTGGCAGCGCCGCCAGCCACCCAATCATTTAATTTGTTCGACAAGAGGGAATCTCTTAAGATTTTTTTTGTTTTCCGAAATATGAGGGCGAAGCGGACAAAAAAATATTACAAATATCAATTTAAAATATTTTTTTTTTTTTTTTTGGGAAAATTTGGACATGACCCGTATATTAAAAGCATGAAAAATAACAACTATTACAAGTAAGAGAGAAAATAAGCTGTAACATAAACGCTCCAAACAAATGGGACCAAGCTCTCAAAGCAACAAAATAAAAACTTGTACAAAAGCTGCACTAAGAAAAAAAACCTAAAGTCCACATGTGAAAAATTAAAACCATAGAACCTATGGACTCAGAAAAATACCAAAAGCTATACCAATCCGACAATATCCCTGGTTGCCAAAATTAGACCGTCCGAGGGATAACAAAGAGGCTGACATCATCGTCCGGTCTATGGCTTTAATTTAGCAACCCAAAAAACTCCGGCACAGCCAGCACATCCAACACAGCCATAAACAGAATGCTCAAACCTATTACCAGAGAAAAACGCAGCCACCTCATACTGCAAGTAACCAAAAACCTTCCAAATCAATCCTCGAACCAGCTGGAAAAGAAAAAAGCCTCCAACAGCCCTTATAAGCTGCAAAGTAAAGAAGAAACAGCTTTCCATTTTGCCACTTTATCAAACACCGCACTTTTAATAAGAGTCGAGGTAGTTGTGCTACTATTAAACACATATCCAAATCTTCTACTATTTCTTTCTTTCCATATAAAATATAGAGAGCAGCTCACAAAAAGAAGATAGAGATTTTAAAGAAGAGCATTATTACTAAAGACTTCCTCTATCCATTCAAAAAGATGCAAAATTGTAGGTCTAAGAAGAAGACTTTTGGTGGCAGGTATAGTGTTATTAATCACTTCAAATGAATACTGGCATTCAAAAAATAAGTGATTAATACTTTCCATGTTAACGTTGCAAAGGCTACATATTTCAGGAACCAAAATCTTTCTTTTTTTCAGAGCGTCAGCTGATTTCAAACTGCCTTTAAGAGCAAGCCACGAGTAGCAGGAAAACCTCAATGAATGATGAGAATGCCAAATGAATTTGTCCTAGTTACAAGGGGTCAAGGAACAATAATATTCAAAAATAAAACTCCCAAATCTACCAGATTTAGAAGTAGCTTTACCATCCCAAATTAAACAGTCAGAATTGCAATCAACTATAGGAGTAGCAATGATCTCATTTAATAACAATAAAGGCAAGTTATCTGGGAGAGTCCAGACACCATTTGTAATGAGAGAGGAAACCAACGTACTCAAATTCGAGGTCTGATGCCAAGCAATACCCTGAGGCCTATCAAGAATAGTGTCATTGTTAAGCCAGTGATTCCAAAGCAAAGAGATGGGGCCTTTATTATGAATTTTGAATTTAAATTTTTGCCTGGAAGCAACCGCAGTAGCACATACAGGTTTCCAAAAAGTTGAAGCCAAGCTAAGAGGTGGCTTCCAAGGAGAATTGTATCTATATATTAGCCATTTATAAAGAGAAGAATCTAAATTATACATTCTGAGAATAACCGAGCAGTTGTAAGCAAATTGCAATGCTTGCACAGATGGCAAGCCCAAACCCCCATACGTTTTTGGCTTGCAAACCTCTTCCCATGATAACATGTCTTACCCACATCCAGATCTCCAAAAAAAAGAAATTTGGAGCTAATTTTTTAAAAAAATTTGATGACAGCTTTTGGTATAATAGCTCCCCTTATCCAATATGCAATAGAATTTACAATAGTAAATTTGAGGAATTGCAATCGGCCCGCAAAAGAAAGAAGATTAGCAAACCAACCGGACAACTTTTTAGTAGCTTTTTCCATCAGTGGAAGAAAATCAGAAATCCTAAGTCTATTGAAAGACAAAGGAACCCCCAAATAAGTGACAAGGTGAGTGATATTGTGAATATTCAAAGCTTGACATATATCATCAGAATTGGGCATATTTCTAGGCAGCAGAATAGAGCTCTTCTCTAAGTTAACTTTAAGACCAGAGGTATTAGCAAAAATATTAAGAATGTTAGCTAATTTGTTGCAATTCTCCACATTAGCTTCTCAAAAAACTAGGACATCATCAGCATATAAAAGATGAGAAAGTGAAAAGCCATCCAGATTGATGCCTCTAAAATCACCTTCGTCTAATAAATTGGAAAATGCATCCATCACAATGCAGAAAAGGTAAGGACTTAAAGGACAGCCTTGCCTTAAACCCGCCGTAGTATTGAAGTAACCTTCTAAAGCACCATTTATAACAAGAGAAAAATTCACATTGTTGATGCAAGCTTTGATCCAACCCACATACCTAGAAGGGAAAGCTTTTTGAATCATTCTGTTTAATAAGAATTCTCTTGAAACTGTATCAAAAGCTTTCCTGATATCAAGTTTTGCACAGAAATATTTGATCCCTCTAGCATTACGAGTGTATGCAAGCAATTCTTTAGCCAGAAGAATATTATCAGTTGAAACTCTAGCCTTTATAAAGCCCGATTGGTTGCATCTAATAATCAAAGGCATAATATTCTTGATTCTAAAAGCAAGTACTTTAGCAATGATTTTGTATATAGTATTGCACAGAGCAATAGGTCTGAAGTCAGCTAGAGAAGAAGCATTTGAGTGCTTAGGGATAAGGGCTAGGGCGGTGGCTTTAACACCATTTGGAAGGTAGCCCTTCAGAAAGAAAGCCCTAACAGCATTATACACCATAGGACCTATAATATGTCAAGCAGTTTTATAGAAGTGGAAATTAAAGCCATCAGGACCAGGAGAAGAGGACGAAGACCCCAAAAACACGGCTTTTTTAATTTCATCATCTAAAATAGGATTAGTAATAATGTTGCAAAAAGAAGCAGGAAAAACCGAACCAATGGGGAATAAATGCACATCAAAGAGAGGAGGAGGGGCAGGGTTATACAAAGATTGAAAATGGTGTATGATAGCATTAATCACCTCAGACCTGTCAGTATTAGGAAAAGTAGAAAACATGTTCACCACAGCTTTACCTGAACATTGCCTACTTTTGATCCTAGAATAAAGAAATTTCAAGTCTTCCTCCCCTTGTTTAAGCCATTTCACCTTTGCCCTTTGAATTGTCCAAGAAGTAAAAAGCTTAGTGAAGTTCTGAATCTTACTGTTAATGCCTTTAAGAGTGGAGTTTAGCATGCAATCAGTAGGACATTGTTGAATCTGAGCCAAGCATTCCTTTTGTTTAGAGTGCAGATTGTCCAGATGAGCCTTAACCAAAGAAGAGTGAGCCCAAGACTCACACTTAATGTCTCTTTTGAGTTGCTTAAGAGTCTTACAGAGAGAAGACAAAGGATTACCATAAATAGGAATAGAGATAGCATTGAGAAGCAGGTCCCAGTATTTATCCACATCAGTCCAGTAGTTTTTGAAGAGGAATCTGTGCTTAGTAGAAGAAGCTAAACCCGAGTCGACAATAAGAGGACAATGGTCCGAAGAAGACGGACTTTGAGTGGAGCAAAAAGTTGAAGGGAACTCATTCAACCAAACATCATTAATAAGAACCCTATCTAATTTGATGTGAATAGGGTTCTCGGATTGCTGATTGAACCATGTATAAAGACTGCCCACCGACTGCATATCCTGTAGTTTATTTTCAAATATCATGGAGTTAAGATCCACAAGCTGCCTAAGATTTAAGGGATCCCCCCCCTAAAATTTAGGCCCCCCCCCCCCCCCCCCCCGACTTTTCAGAACAAAATCTACAGCAGTTAAAATCTCCCAATAAAATCCAAGGCATTTCTAGATTAGGAGCAAAATGTCTAATACTAGACCATAGTTCTTTCCTTTCTTCAGAGCTATTGGAAGCATATATCACCGTGAGTTGAAAAGGAGCAGAAGTATAAGAATTGACAATACCAGAAATCATATAAGGAGTAATATGAAGAGGAGAAAAATTGATATTACTACTGTTCCATTTAATCCAGATTCTCCCAGAAGTAGACATATCAAAATTATTGCAGCTATTTTCATAGGTGAAAATAGAATGAGATTTTTTTTAAAAAAGGATTTTGAAGAGTAGCTTCATGAATTCTAGTTTCTAGAATACACAGCAAATCCAAATGAAACTCTGCAGCCAAACACTTGCAACAGAGAACTTTATCTGAGCTTTTGAAACCTCTAATGTTCCAAGTAGCTATATTAGGTAAAACCATTAATAACCTGAGGAGGTAGAGGATTTTTTGGACTGCTTCCCCCTAGCAAATTTCTTATTAACAACAATCAGATTGTTTTTCGGGCTCAGAAGTATGGGCTTTGGCTTTCTTCTCAATTTTGGTAGCAGTGTCTGTATTACCCGAAGGACCCAAAACATCAAGTTTACTATCCAGGGAATCTAGTACATCAAATCTGTTTGGAGAAATGATTCCAGGAGGAGAAGAGGGAATATCCGGGTTTGTCTTACAAGCACTCACTGAAGATGAGGAGTCTTCCACATTCGAGGAATTTAGATTAGGAACAGAATTTAAACCTATTCCCGATATCTCATGTTCATAAGTAGGAACAGAAGTAATAGGAATATGAACATTAGCTATCTGAGGCTGCGGAGGAGGGGAATGTGGTTGATAACTCAACGGTAAACCAATAGCATTTTTTCCTTTTACAAGGATGTTGTTTTCAATTGTCTGTATTGTTGAGTCCAGTCAAGTGCAAATCTTCTGACATTGTTAGGAGATAACTATACATTTGAACAATAATGTTTGGAATCATCAAAACTACATAAGTTGCATAAATATAACTCATTCAAATAGCAACTATTCAAACATGTATCTGATGTGATGAAGAAGAAGGTTTTTCTGCGGGCTTTGAAGAATCAACAGCAGAGGAAGGAAAACGTCCCTGCGATTTAGATTGATGACGATGCCTAGCAAAGCGACTATTACTTCTACCTCTAACGTTTTGATTTTTCACTTGGTCTACTAGCATTTTATCTGAATCATCGTTTTGGGTCTTGAAGGGCAAAAATTAGAGTAATGTACAAGAGACTTACAGTGCTCACATAGAGTTGGCTTCCATTCATATTGGACCTTTAATCCCACAACATCACCATCTAGTGATATCTGTATTTCTTACGGATAGGTAGCTTGATTGTCTACCAGCACACACATTCTTGCATATGTCAGTCGAGTCATTTGAGAAGTGAGGGAGTCAGCAGCCAACGGAACCCCAACCTTACTTGCAATCCTTGAAATACCTTCCGAGTTCCAGCAAGCTAACGGTAAGTCATGGATTTTTATCCAGATAGGAACAATTTTGAAATCCTCTCTCTTGGGCTTGAATTTGGGGTGCCACTTTTATAATACAAAAGGTTTCCCGAGGAGGAACCAGACCCCCCTCGACCAAACCGCTTCCATGTCTTCGGAACAAGAAAAATGAAAAATGAAGAAGCCATCATTTAAAGATATCATTTTAACTGAACCTTTCAAAGCCCATGTTTTGTTGATGGCGGCTAGCAATGCTTCATAATAAGGTCTTCTACCGATAGAGTACCCTACTAAACATAACTTCCAGTTTTCAGCTCCAGTCGACAACTTTTCTACAGAGAAAGGCACAATCTCTGGCTCTAAAGGGAAATGAGAAAGATGCAGCTCAGCTTCAGAAGTCTCACTAACAGCGCATGCAGCTAACCAGTTACGATTCGGAGGAGGAGAGATTTGTCCAGACTCAGAAACAAGCGGAGGAAAGTCTGAAGGTGTTATAAGAGAGCCCATGACAGCTATAACCAGTAAAGATAAAAGAGAGGAAGGTGGCCCTTCGGCAGAGCCGGAGGGGGAGGAGAGAAGTGAGGCGGTGCAAAATGGCTGAGCAGAGAGTAGAAGGAAAACCTAGCGCATTGCTTCAATTTTTTTTTTTTTTTTTGTCTTGAGACTTTTTTTAAGGAGAGCCTAACTTAAAGAGAAGTCGCGGTGTCAAAAGGTAGTGGTATGCTGCATTTGTGAAAAAAAAAATATAAAATTATTTGAAGCGGAGGAGGAGATAAAAGGAAAACCCCGCGCCTTGCTTAAATTTTTTTTTTTTTTTTTTTTTTGTCTTGAGACTTTTTTTAAGGAGAGCCTAACTTAAAGAGAAGTCGCGGTGTCAAAAGGTAGTGGTATGCTGCATTTGTGAAAAAAAAAACATAAAATTATTTGAATTTTTTTTTGTACAAATTCAAAATTTTTGCCAAAATTTCTAGCAATTTCACCCAATTATGCCAATGGGATTGCAATACTTCCTTTAGAACTTCATTCCAGGCTGCGATTTGGGATTGGCAGCTCGAGCAGGATGATGAACTCGGCCTGATTTGTTAAGCTAAATTTAAATTAAAAGTTTTATAATTAGTTTTGCTAATTTAATTTTGCTTAAAAATTTAATATATATTATACTTGTTGCATCCTAGAATATTCACGGTGGTAGATAAGTATATAGTTAAATGTCTTAGCATTGTACGAAGATCCAACACACAAGTAGATGAAAGAGAGAGAGGTTGTAGTATTTATAAGAGACACTAGAATTTTTACGTGGAAACCCCTAAAAAGGGGGAAATACCATGGGGCCTGACCCAATTTGAATGAATCCAGTGTATTTGCAGTTGATTACAAATGAGGCCCTTCCTTGAGAGAAGGCATTGGCTTGATTTCACAAATATTCATCATATAGAGCGCATTATATTGTGGGTGTTATAATAATCAACATAGACATATTTGTTTGGTTGGAAGGAACATAGTTGATAGGACAGAGGTCGAAAAGACTTTAGTAGGCAACGAAAGTTGGAAGGACCATAGTCGGCAGGAGATAGGGGTCAGAAAGACCGTTGTCTATCGAGGGAGGTTAGAAGGATCGTAGTTGGCAGATGACCGAGGTCAGAAAGACCATAGTTGGCGAGGGAGGTCACCGTAGTAGGCGACGGAGGTCAGAAGAAGATTGGGGTCAAAAAGATTGTTGTCTGGCAAGGGAGGTCAGAATGTTCATCGAGATGTTTTTTTAAAAAAATTGAATATGAGGAGATTTCTACTTTTTGTTTAAAATGTGAAAAAATTTGTCATCTGATTAATGAATGTAATTTAAAGGAAAAAGTTGCTTGTAATAGTGGGACAACTAAGTCTAATGTAGAAGATAAGAACATTAGTAAAGCTTTGTCGGATGTAATGGAGACTGGTTCTTCTTATGGACCTTGGATATATTTGAATCATGGGAGAAAAATAAGGTCTTTTGATGCTGTTAATAGAGGAAATCAAAGTAAAGTTTGGTGGAGCAGGAGGGATAATGTTGATAAAGGGATTGTTGGTGTATATAGGAATTCACATCAGGACTCAAATGTGATCAACAATCGTCATTCTTTGGTTGCTGATGTGACGAAGCTTGATATGCTTGTAATTATGGAAGGTGTTGATTTGCATGGAGCATTTCATGAAGAACCTATTGCTAATCAATAAGACCTGGAACTGAAGAATATGAGTTCAAGATTCGCTAAAAATCTAGTACATCCATAAAATTCTATGGAATTGAATGATGTTGCCCGCTGTGAAGATGTTGCTGATAAAGTCAAGCTGGATTTGAGAATCTTTTTTTGAAGAGTTATGGAGGATTAGTTGTTGAACTGCATCATAAATCTAGTTTAAATCCTATTCCTTGTTCTAAAAACTTTTTTAATGTGTTGAGAGGAAGTTGGTGTGATACAGCTGAGGAGGGAGAAATTGTATTACATAGTCCAGAGTACGAATTGAACGGGTTCTTTTTTGTCCCAATGAATTCCAATTTTCTGAACTGATCTACTATATGATCACTTGTTCGTACAGACGATGTCCATAGTATGAATTGGATGGATCCCTTTTCATCCCGATGAATGACAAATTTTTCTGAATGATTCATACTATACATGTCTTATTCGTACAAATGACGTCTAGAGTACGAAAATGTGGGGTACCTTTTCGTCCTGACGAAGTTAAAAAATATTCTTAATCATTCGTACAGTACGAACATGGTTTGTACTGGACGATCATCATGTACGAAAATATTTCGTATAGGTTTGTACACAATACTTTTTGAACTGTTCATACGTGCGAAATACGATCGTACTGTACGATCGTAAATGCTAAAAAAGGAAAATTTCATATTTCTGGATGATTTTTTTGTGTCTTTCATATAAAAGGTCTTTAACAACTAACTTAAAATGTTATTCTTCTTGATTTCTTTGAGAGCAAGTGAAAGAGTATTTTTGGGAGAGTGTTTGAGAGAGAGTTCTTGCAAGTGGAGTATAAATGGATCACTAGGTTACTCAAAGGTTAGAATATCTTTTGGTTTTTGGTTGCTACTCTTCCTTTCTTCATTCTAATTGCCTGAGAGAAGATCTTTAAGAATATCTGGTACTATGCCGACACTTGGAGAGTGTGAACAGATGATGGTACTCTGCCGACACTTGGAGGGTGCGAACAGACGATGGTACTATGCTAATAATTGGAGGGTGTGAAAGGATTAAGGTACTCTGCCACACCAGGGATAAGTGGAAGAGAGAAAAATTGTTAAGGCTTCTCCGCCTTGCTGTGGGGGCAAAAGGAGAGTCACTTTTTGTAATAGTGCAATACCTGAAGAGGGAGTCTTCC